TATCTTAATGAAAAATCACACCTAGCCCGGCTATAGTGTTCCTTGCACTGGGCAAATTTTATGTTAAGACAAACATCTGTGGCCCTCTTAGAATCAAACAATTTTTCAGCTTTAATGCTTCCCCTTGACTATCTCACTGAAGTTCTTGGGATAAATCCTGTGTCCTTAGTCAGTTTTTACTCACTAATTGTAATTGAGTCCAAACTGGGATCAGGTGAGAGCTGGACAGTTTGAGAAACCCTGGTCTCAGAGGTCAGGTCTTTGAAAACTCCTTTCATGTTCTCTTAAGCGTTTCACCATCCCTTCCCTTCATACCATAGATTCTCTTGTGCTAGTTAATGTATATTTGTTTTCCTTTACAGAAGCTCTAAATGACATTCAGAATTCTGTCTATAGAACAGCCCTGAAACTACGCTCAGTGCAAACCTTGTGCCAGTGTAAGTAGCTCAAAGGAGTCCTGTGGGAGGAGAATCTGGAAGAGTGCAATCATAAATAATACTACTTGCTCTTCTCTAATGCTTTCCATCTGATGATCTCAAAGATTATCATCAACATTAATTAATAAATAAATAATACTTCATACGTGTATTAGCTTCCTTTGAGATTCTCAGTTGAAAGACACTAAATCTCGTTATTCCCATTTTACTGATTGAGAAATGGAAGCTCAAAGGGGTTAAATGTCTTCCCAAAATGACAGCATAATCAATTCGTTAGGAGCAGAGCTCAGATTCTACCTTTTCTAACAACTAAATGATTTCCCAAAGCCTCACAACACAGATGTGACATGGATAAGTATCATTATCTCCATTTGTGTTATCAAATAAGTACATCTAGAACGGCTCAAAGTATTTTCAGCAGCAAAAAAAAATAAAAAATAAAAGTGGGGTTTCACTTGAAAAGATTTTCTGTAGAAAATTTTGATTTGATTAAACATTTTGTTTGAAAATTTTTCAAAAGGAATGAGAAGATTGAAAATTTCTTCTAAAATATCAGGAAAATACCCATTTTTCCTTCACTTTTTTCCTTCTCCACTGGAAAAGCTAAAAATAAGTATTTAATTTGTTTTCACTGTATAATAAAAAAGGTGCCACCCCACCCCCGTTGCTGCAGGCGGCCCTGCCCGCGCTCCACTGCCCCAGCTCCCTCTGCCTAAATACTAGCGGTGACCAGGACAGCCAAAGATCTGGCCGCCATGGTCGCTGTCGAAGAAAATGGCGCCCCCCCAAATCCTGGTGCCCTAGACAACCGCCTAGGTCGCCTAAATGGTTGCACCAGCCCTGGGTGTGGGAGAATCCCAGTGACCAGGCAAACAGTAACAGTATTCTTACAAAGAGATTGTACCCTGTAGGATGGCAGACTCACCCCAGAAAGAGAAGCAGATGTTCTCCATTTGCCTTGGAGATCAGCTTTGCCCTGCCCACACTTACTATTGAGTAATTGGACACCACAATCAGCTTCAGCTATGGAACCCTGCAGACAACTATGTACAAGAAACTCACAGATTACCACAGTTACCTTCACAGATCCAGTAACTACCCAAAACTTATCTACAGCCAGGCACTCATCAGATACCACAGAATATGCTCTGAGGAGAAAGTCTGGGATACACACAACAACACAACACACTTAAAACCACTTTTGGCAAACAAAAACTCTCCACCAAAGTAGATTGCATCATGAAATGAGACATCCAAGTACCCCAAGGAAACCTAATTCAATACAGGAAAAAACACCCTCTGACCATCCACACCTAGTTGTCACCTACATCCCCACACTGGAACCCATACAGGGTATCATTACACAATTACAATCCATACTCAATGGGAACTACATCCTGAAAGAAATCTTTCCTGGACCCCCTCTTGTGTCCTTCAAATAACTCCCCCCAACCTCATCATCAGAAGCAAGCTTCCCACAGACCTGGGCACCCCAGACCCTGACAGAATAGATGCAAAACCAGCAGACATATCTCCACTGCTACGATGACCAATACCATGCCCCCCTCCCCCCCCCCCCCCGCCGCCAAACACATCTTTCAAGATCCGCCGGTCCTCCACATGCCCATCACAACATATGGTATACCTCATCCTATGCACCAATGTCCCAACCTCACTACACTCATGTCAGGGTTCCCTCCCCACTCTGAACTCCAGGGTACAGATGTGGGGACCTGCATGAAAGACCCCCCAAGCTTATTTCTACCAGCTTAGGTTAAAAACTTCCCCAAGGCACGAATTATTCCATGTCCTTGGACGGTATGCTGCCACCACCAAGTGAGTTAGACCGACCTGGTCTCTCTCAGCTCCAACATTACAAACTACAATGTAAAATGTCAAAGTCAGACATTCAACCCCTATGCTAAACCAGATGGTAACATAACCCCAAATACACTGGCAAATACTATTTGTGAAAAGGGGGTAAGGGGCTGGTCACTCAGTAGCTACTTAGCACAGAGCGTCATAACCATCTCAGCTCTCTAATGGAAAGAGTGGTGAAGGTTGAGGAGCACAGTCAATGCTATTACAGAAAAAGCAGATATGTTATAATGGCAGTAGTAGATAGTTCACTGCATCCGTGAAATTCAAAAGAACTCTCCCTTTAATAGATCTTTGTAAACAGTTCTACTCACTGCCTTAGCATGCCACCATAGGAATCTTTGCCTCTAACAGCCCTGGTTGACCACCATTTTGGTCCACAACTTGCCCTCTAAGTCACATTTAGTCCAGATATCTTCTGGAGTAACAGAAGACCAGCTAGAAGTTCACACATCCCAACAAGAGATCCTTTCAACCCACTAGGGCTACTCCTAAATCCATCATCTGGGCTCAATCCTGAGCCCCACTCTGGACTCAATAGTCCTTGTGATGGAGTTTTTACATCCTTTCCCCAGCTCGTAGGGGAACCCCAATTTCTTCCCACTCCTCCACTGTGGTTTCCAGCCCAGTGGCCTTTTGTTGAGCAACTAGGTTCTTTCCTTTAGATCTGTTTCCCTGGGCCACTTCTTACCTCCACGTCCTAATAGCTTATGGATAATACAGCCTCTCCTCTGGCTCTAAGGGTACATCTACACTACAGCGGGGAGTCGATTTAAGATACGCAAATTCAGCTACGTGAATAGCGTAGCGAAATCCGACATATTGCAGCCGACTT